AGTGATAAATAAGAATTGTAATGAAGGAGGATACTGCAGACAGTTTGAGAACATTTTTGGGGTAAACTGATTAAATGGAAGCTAGCAGAGGTCAGATTGGACATTCTATCCTTGAGCAGACCAACTGGAGTATCAAAAACCAATTTTATTTGTTTATACATGTTCCACAAAATCTTGAGAGTTTAGCTGTGGCTCATACATAGCAGATTAGCTCTATGTAATGTATCCTTCTATCCACACTCCACCTTACCCAGCCAGGTCTGTGTCACTTCCCTCAGGGGAATTTCTGGGTAATTTGAGCAAAGGCCTAGCTTTAGGGTTTCTGGGCCTCCCAACTGCCTTCTTCTATTCCTCTTGGATTTCTGTGGGGTTGAGCTGTAATAAGTATACACTTCATTGTGGGTGCAAAAAAAGTTCCCTGTTAATTAACTCCCTTTTAGAGGAACATGGTTCTAGAAGTTAGGTGACAGTTGGTAAATTGAACTTAGCAAAATTAAATAAAATTTCCTTTGGCACAGATTCAGCATGGTATTTTCAATTGTTAGCAGTGATTGGAGAGGCACAGGTAAGGCAGCCATCTCTGTAGGAGAAGTTTGCTCTGAAAGTAGTGAAGTGTGAAGGAGTCCTTTTGTGAAGTTTTATCTGAGAAACCTAGAATTTACATTTTAGCCCCTAAATGATGTCTCCAAATTTCACGTCTTTCTGTGCAATTCCAACATACATAAGTGAAATTACGTTTCTTGAGGTCAGGGTCATCAATGGGAGAATCAGAAGGAGGTAAAGAGACAAAGATTTCTATAAGCTTTCAGTCCAGGATCCTCCATATAAATTCAGGTGAAATTTTTTAATAATGAATATCTGTGTCAGCCTGGTTATCAGAGAGAAAGGGAAGATTCTATTGAAGGCCTATTGTTCTATTGAAGGCCTCATGCCTCCACAGTGCTGTGTGCGATGGGGGAAGAAGCCAGCCTCAGTTTCCCCACTCCTTCACATGTTGATTTGGAGTATAAATGCTGCAGGAATTTTTGTTGCCATTGTTGAGGAAGATGTGCCCTGAGCTAACGTCTGTGTCAATCTTCCTCTATTTTGTATGTGGGTTGCTACCACAGCATGGCTGATGAGTGGTGTAGGTCCGTACCTGGACCCAAACTGTGAACCTGGACAAAGAAATGGAGTGTACTGAATTTAATCACTACGCCATGGGTCTGGCCTTGGAATTTTTTTTTAATGTACTAGTTGACTATCCCACTCTCTTCCCATCATCATTTCTCTTCATCTTTTTTTGGCTCTAGTCACAAAATTGTAGGTTCCCTAAAAGACTCAACTGAGCTGTGTATTATGATTTTTTTTGCATGTAAAATTTTAAAATACTAGGTGTTTTTTAAATGGGGAGCAAGTTCAGATTCTTTTGTCATCCTTTGATATCAACATGATTAAAATCAGTGGGGCTTTTGTTTTTTCTTTTCATTTTCTCTAAACTACAATAGTTGATTTATGAATAGGCATTCAATATAAAATATTTCAACCAAAAGTACTGTTCTGAGGGTTATATTTTTCAACCTTTTTACTGCATTTGCAGTAACATACAATTAATGGCAATCACGCTTTGTGTAGTTTGAATTATATTTTCCTCTTAGTCTTTAGTATAATTTGTATGACAAGTTCATTTTCCCTCTTGAGCTTGCTCGATACTTCCACATGAGGAACATGTGTTCCTTTTCTCCATTCTGATTATCTTCTACTCCATAGGTGGTCCTGACAGGTCTAGCATAATCTAAGAAGAATGATTAGAGTAAACATAGCTAAAGTTACCATTTTAACACCATGGCTATTTTTTGAAAGAATTCATTCGGAACCTTTCTGTAAGAAATAGATTTGGCCAATTTTGTCCTTGTCATCACCATCACCATCAATACTCTGTCATCATCATCAAATAAAGTGTGTAAGTTTCCTCAAGCCCAGCAGAGTCACATGTGACTTAAAAATTATTCGATTTACTGTGGTCTTTCTCATGGGTAGCTCCAAGAAAAGCCAGAAATTTAGAGACACCAATCTCTGGAAATCTATCTTTAGAAATCGTGAATAATTGGACCCAAAGCCTTGACAATCCCCAATTCTAAGGGCATACAGATAGCATCAGAATCAGAACTATACTCAAGGATTCAGTTCAATCCCTGCTCTGTGGTGATAAAACTCAATTGATGGGATGTAAAAACAGACATGCAGACACACAGCGCATATGCTGCATTATTACTGGCAGATGTGTTCTGTTAGGCCTGCCATGTTTGGCTTTGTTTTGTTTTGCTTTATGTGGTAACCAAAATCAAAAAGGATATTTTGCCTGAAGATTTGGATTATTGACTCCCTTTGAAGAATCAGAATTCTTACATCCCTAGGTTTCCATTCCCACAAGGCAACCTGGGGCTGTGTAGCGGTGGGTGTATTCCCAGCTCCCGGTAGGGTCTACCCTTCACTCAAGCACAACATGCATATTTATATTGCTTGTGTCATGTATTTTGCCTTACTGATCCTTACAGGCATTCTATTTTCAACCCTTAAACAGAAACATGCAGTGTGAGCTACTCAGGAAATACTAGACCTGGAAACCCAGGACCTGGGTGGTTGTAACTGTCATGTCGTTGAGTCTGTTTTCTCATTTGTTCAGTGGGGCTGAATAAACCTCTTCTAATGATCTCCTGTGATAGCTGTGACCTTCAATTGAGAAAATGCATGTGAAAACACTTTGAAGTACTGCAAGTGTAAAAACTGGTTAATCATATCCATGTACAAAAAAATACAAATAATTTGTCAACTAAAATTTTGAGTTTCCTCTGCTGAAAACAGTATTGACATTGCAGAAGGAATAGATAGAAAAAAGGAAACTGTCCTGTCCCATTTGAAGCAGAAATATTCTGTGTCATAGGCAGCTGGCTTGATGGGAAAAGCCTGGTATTGAGTTAGAAGAGCTGCTTGGGACAGAAGTCCTGGGAGCTGTGCACAGGTCATTGCACCGCCGTGAACTTTATGTCCTCGTCATACAACATGGAAGACAGGACTTGCCCCCTGAACTCACAGGCTTGTGGTCAGGATCAAATGATGTAAAGTAAGTGAAAGCAATGAATAAACTGTAAGACATTATCCTAATATAGGCAATAATAAGTACTTAGTGATAAAATATGAACATATAAAATAGACTATTTACAAACCAAATATTTACACACCTTAAGAGTTGGAAGAGATGACAGAGTAGTTTTGAGTTAAATCAGAGACAGCTTTTTGGAAGAGGAACATTTTGATCGAGTCTGATTTCTGGCCATCCATCTGAGAATGGGCCTATTTTCTTAGTTGAAATAAGCTTGCTTTTTGTGTTTTATTTCTGATGCATACCTCTATTGTGAGAAGAATTGGGGGTTTCTCATGTTCTTCAGATTACTTACTTCAGTATAATACATCATATAAAAAATTTAGAGAGTGAAAAAAATAACTTGTGAAGATTTTGTCACTAGAATAACTCAGGATGTTTATTAGTGTTGGAAGGAATCTTTGTGATGATATTTTACAAACCAGAAAACAGAAGAACAGAGGAATTAAAGGACTTCTGCAAGTTCTCAAAGCTATGAAGTTGCAGGGCCGGAACTCATACCAGGGGTTTGGACTCCGGGGTTCTTTCTGCTGTGCCACGTTGATACTGGGGCGACTTCTGGCTGGTGGTGCTGTTTCGAGTCATTGGATGTTTATTAATCAGACTGGGCTGGGAACATAGGAGGAGGAAAGGAGAGGTGTTAATGAGATCGCTGTGAATTAGAAAGTGGGTTTTTGGGGAAACCTCAGCTCCTATAAAGAAAATAAATGATTTTGCATCCTTCCTTCACACTGGAAGCCCCCTCCCCACCCTACCCCTTCTGCCATTCTTTTGAAGCCCGGTGACTACCTTTACGTTCTCAGATGTGTCTTAAACTTTTTGCATGTCCTCGCAGTCCTGGGACACTGGTGAGATTCCTTCTCCGATCAGCACGCTAGGGGAGGACAGCTCCTTCAGCAAAATGAAAACTTTCAAACCCTCAATCAAAGCAAGAAACAACGCGGCCACTGGAACAAAGTTTCTACTGGGGGCAAGAAATCACTCCTCCCCGTCCCAGTTCCTCCAGCGTCTGAGAACGCGAACTTGCTTTCCTTTTTTCCCACAGCCCCAAGGGAGCTGTGCCGTCTTCGCTATTAAGAGGTTTAGGGCCTGAACGAGGTCATTCTTCCAGGTGTCTGGAGGCGGGCTGCCTCTGGAATTTAATTTCTCTGCTCTCCACCAGCCTCCAGTGTCCCTCTTCCCTTCTCGGTTCCGGAGGGGCAGAGGAAGCCGCGTGCCCCAAGGCTCATCGCCCGCTTGGAATTCGCGTTTGGTGCCCGGGAGGAGGCTTTTTGGGGAGGACGGCAGCGGGGCCCGGTCGCGAGTGCCGGTGCCTGTCCTGCAGTTGGCGGAGTTCTTGTTGGCATATGGAGACGGGTGCCTTTCGCGGGCCCACCCTGCCTCCCACATCGCGACTTGCCTCCTTGGAGGGGGCTTCGGAGGTCCAGAGGCAGGCAGGCAGGCAGAATTCGGGCTCCCCCAGAGTCGGGCTGCCTGGCTTTATCCTCCCCGGTCCCAGATGGCCGTGGGCTCCACGCTGCCCCTAGCAGCCCCCCACCGCCACCGCCGCCGCCTTCCCCAGCAGCGGCTGCTGGGTGACGGCGCCGTCACTGGTTGGATTGGAGCTGGCAGCTCAGACGGGACACCGGGGGGGGGGGGGGGGAGTGGGGGAGGGAGGGTGTGGGAAAGGGGGAGGTCAGCGCTGGGCGGGCGCTCGGGGGACCCAGCGCTGCCCCCTCCAGCAGCAGGAGCAGCACAGCAGCATCAACAGCCGCCGCCGCAGCCACAGCGGCCGCAGCAGCGCGAGCGCGAGGCTGGCAGCGCGGCGCGGCCGAGAGCAGAGGGGCGGCGGCGCCCGCCCCAGCCGAGCCGAGCGGAGCCGAGCGCGCAGCCGGGCCGCCGCCGCCGCCGCCTCGCAGATGCCATCACAGCAACAAAGAGCTGGCTGAGCTGAGAGCAGCGGCGGGAGCTGGCCTGGAAGCCACGGCGCGGGCTCGCGGAGCTAGGCGGCAGCGGGAGAAGGCGCGTGGGGGGTCTGGGGGAGGGGAGGGGACAGAAGATGGCCAAGAAGAGAAAGCCCCCCAGCATCAAGGGTGAGTGCTGCTCCATTCCCGCCTCGCTGCATCCCACCTCCCACCCATCCGCCCCTCGGGCCAGCTTGTTTACATCCAGGCTAGACCAAGCGGAAGGCTGCCTGCGGGGAAGAGTTTGCCTTCTCCGGGAGGTGGGGCCACCTCGGCGCTGCTGCACCTCCCTTTGCCTCCGGGGAGACTCTGACAGGAGTTTGTCCCTTTTTTGTTACCTGGAGACTCTTTCTCTCACCCCACCCCTTTCCTACTCCACGAGCTTGGATATCTGTTGCACCTCCCCCCAGCCCCCTTCTCCCGTCCCCCCCCGCAGGGCAGTGCGGAGGGAAGCGACTCTTGCCTCCTAGTGTCTCATCCTTTTTGGAATCAGGCTGTGTGCGCGCCTGTGTGTGAGAGAGAGGAGAGTTTTTCCTGGTCTCTTCTATTCCCTCCTCCCAATCTTCCCCCTCCCTCCGCCTCTTTATCCCTAGGCTGACAAGTTCTGCATCCATTTTCCCAACCTCCATTCTCAGGAGGAGATAGGAGCTGTCGGGCTCTCCTTTTCTCCGATCGCCAAGAGGACTTGCTGCCGGCCGGGTCCATGCAGGCTGTTTCCCCATTCCCGACCTGCGAAGGCGGGCAGTGACTCCAGATGAGCAGTCCCCGCTGCTCCTTTGGAACCAAGGGCTTCCAAAGTTGGAAAGTTCAGGAGGGGGAGACGCAGTGGCAGGGAGGACAAGGAAGAGCTTGTGGCTGGGGTGACTTGAGGCATCGCTGCGTGGTCCGGAGCTAGTCTAGGAGGGAGCCTCCTGGGCGGCCTGGAGCTTAGGGGCGTCCCTAGGACGCGCAGAGCTGGGCGCGCGGGGAGCAGGTGCACCGGCCGCTGGCGCCTGCAGCGTGGACTCGCAGAGGTCGCGGCTCGCAGGCTCCCGCGCTCCCGCTGGGAAACAGCGGTGGCCAAGAGGCAGTCCGCAGCGCTGCGCAGGGATGGGAGCCGACCCCACGCCGCGCGCCGGCAGGAACGCTGAGCGCCCGGAATGGGACCCGAGCCTTGTGGAGAGGAGGAGGGGGCAGCGTTTGAAGTTGGATTTGGACCCAATGGGCCTAACGGTCCCGGAGGCGAAGACTCCTTGCACCTTGTGGTTATGTAAAATAGGACCAGGACTCTGAGATGGGAGGGGGTGCATAATTGAATATATCAGCTTGGTTTACAGAAGCGCGCTTGGCTTTGGCGTGCTTGCTTTTTTCCCCAAGTCCTGCTTGTGGGAGCTGAGCTCCACTCTAGAGGTCACTAGGGGGACACAACTTTATCTCGGTGCTTCCGCTTGCTTTTTAATTTCTCTGGGGTACTCAAATCACTTATTGGAAAGGGTTGAACACCATGATTCTTAATCTTTTGGAGACGTTACTACAAAACACCTGAGATCTTCTGTTTGAAACTGTCATATATGTATAATAATTTTATTGTAATGTACTTCCTTAAAAATATTACAGTTCCTATAAATTAGAAGAGGCTTTAAACCTAATTTTTTCCCTCTCAATGAATTAGTACCTGTTTATAGTGGTAGACTGCTAGAGAAAGAAGGAGAAAATAGATTCATCTACCAACAGCTTCCTCGCTATAATATCAAAGAATTAGTCTAAACCGAGATTGGCAAGGTGCATTAGCTGCACTTTTGGTTCGCTCCTTTTTTGTGGAACCATATGGCACGATGAGCGAAACAGAAGGATTGGTTTTCAGCACTGCTGATGTGGCTATCCATTGGCAGGAATACACTTCATACCCACCCCAAACCTTGCAGATTGTAAATGGTCCGTGCAGAGTGGAAAAAATTTTACAGTTTTACAGTACACGCTAGCTGGAGACAGTCTTACCCTTGAAATTAATCTTGGCAGAAGCACAGAAAGAGACAAATGAGACCAAATTAATGAGAAGTGAACTAGCATAGGAGGTTTGATGAAAAAGACACCTCCTCTTTACTCCCTTAAAAAACACCAAGAAGTTTTTGTTTTGTATGCCACAACGGGATTGTGGATATGTATTTTCTTAAATTTGATAGTGAAATAATTGAAGAATGGTAGTTAATAGAGTTTTGTCATTTAAATGTTAACAGTTCCTCTGGAAGAGTTAATAATCAAGCTTTCCTAGGACACGTGGTCTCAAGAAATTTCATTTTAGTTCTTTCAAAATAAGGTTTTCTCATGCTACATGTTTTTCTTAAAGGGAAAGTTATATTATTTAGCTCTTACTGACTTATGTATTTTCTCTCTCTATTTACAAATGTTCAGTTTGTTTAAGCAGTTTATGTAATATTTCTTGGAAGGAATGGTATCTATTTTTTAATCCTTGTAGTTTCACTTTAGCAAAGCAGGATTACTTGTGATATTTTACAGATAACAAAAGCAAACTCAAGAAGTAGTATTCCATTGACTTGCCTCAATTCTGCCTTTTAAAGGGAGAGCTCTACAAAATCATCTGACTGCAGGCTGACTGAACTGCTCTCAGACATCTGCTCCTAAGCTGCTACCAACTAGACTGGGACCGCTTGGTAGAAAACCAAATTGCTAAATTGCTAAGCTATTTTTTCTTTTTGGCAGGCTGCTAGGCTGAACTTTGCTGGATAATAAACTATAGGTTTAGCAATATTCCGCGCTGTGGTGGTTATCCTCTTACGAGAACCTCTGCTCTGCTTAGCTACACAGCGTGTGGGGAGAGATCATTCGTTGGAGCATGTGACAGGCAAGTTGCTCATTGGCTTCTGAAGTCCTAGCAGCAGAGACTACAGACCTACAACAGCTAGAAATTGGCCAAAGGGAGATGCAGTTTCTTAACATGGACAGAAGAGTAAGATGAGTTGGCAGTGTTTCTCAAGGGTTACTAGCATTCATTTGTGACACCACATCGAAAGGACAGCTCTTCAAAGTTAAATGGAATATTTATCAATCCAATGTTTATAATATTTTCACGAAAAAATGCTGTAGTCCATGATCAATAAGTTAGTTACGTTAACTATAGTGATGTAATCCCCCCGCCCCCCCCCCCCCACTTTTCCAATACTATTACAACAAGGATTTCTTACTCACTTAAGTTTAAAGGTTAAGTTGTGCTTGGATTCATTTATTTATGCATTCATTCAGCACACCAGGTTATGTGCAGTGCAGTAGGGATGCAGTGATGAATAAGATAGATGATAAGGGTGCATTAGGAGGGAACCTGGGAAGAGCAGGTAATCAAATACAGGAATGAGAAAATTTCACAGTGGTTAAGACCATGAAGAAAACAAAATAGGATGATGTGCTAGAAAGTGACTGTGGGGTTACTTCGATTGTCTGAAGAGGTGACATTTGAGCTGGGAACCAAATGATGAGGAGGTAATTTGCATAGCAAGAACTGGAATATAGCCTGTAGGCTTTAAGGCAAGAGTGGGGTTGGAGCTTTGCACATTCAAGTACAGAAGGAAGGCCAGTCTGGCTGGAGCGTAGTGTGTGTGGTAGAGACAGATACGGAGAGGCCAGATCTTTTTGACCCTAAGGAGTTTAGATTTTATTTTAAGTGCAATAGGAAGCCAACTGGATACTCGTTGGATGTTTGGGGTTACATTCCTATCCTGGGGGATGATTTCCGGGACAGCAGCTTTCCTACCTCAGCTCCCTAGCCCTAGTAAAGCCACTCAATGGATTTGACTTTTCTAAAAGGTCTAGTTATACTCAGAATCCCCTCTTACTATTCATCAAAACACCTACAATATTTTGGGCTGAGATGTTGATAGCATTTCTAGGAATCTCTCCTTAAAAAACAATTCTAAAGAGAATGAGGATTAACTCAACATTTTAGTAAAAGTGATCGGGTTAGGCACCCACCTGGCCAGCCTCTCAAAGCCTCTCCTGTAATGTTAGAAGGGAGGACTATAAAGAGTCTGGAACATGACTGTGCAGTGGGCGGAATGTGGAAGGCAGCAGAGGGGCTCCTAGGTAACGGAAAGGGGTCCATGAAAGAAGAAGGATGCTGGGAAAGGGGACATGGGAAAGCCTCTAAGACAACATCAGCCAATTCAAGATTTTGCCAAGAGGAGCAGAAGCCTGATGTGAGAGTGTTCCAAGGAAACACTATAGTTCAAGCACAAAGGCAGTTCAAATCAGGCACATTTATGCTCTTGACTGATCTACTTGTGAAGTATTTATGGCAATAAAAGCATACCGGTTTTTAAAAGATCTGTTTGATTTTACTTAATCTTTATTAGGTTGTTCGTATGGATTACAGAGCTCACAGATGAAAATAGCAAGAAAAAATTAAGAGAAAAACTGCCATATTTTGGAGGTAGCTGCTTGACAGCTAGTTAGCAAGGAAATTGTGCTCTTGGGGGTCTCAGACCTTACTGTAGAGATTTTGGCAGCAAGGAAGTGGGGTCTGTTGGATGACTTTCTGCCCCCTAAGCATTTGTGACTAGAAAGTGCCATGATATTTAGGGACGATACATATAATAATCATTTTAAAGCTCTCCACTGCCTTCTCTCACCTCCAAACCTGCTTCTTTGCCAAGGATTAATAACGAAAAAGAGACTGAGAACTTTTGTAGCCTCATGGCTTTCTTGAGTACCCTCCCCTCTTTCTTTGTACTCCAAGTGTCTCTGTTGAGGCTGGCAAGGTTGGTAATACCTCAGAGAATATGTGACTAGGAATGGATCTGGCCTTTAGTGATACTGTGACACAATGTGTTTATGACATCAGCTTTTTTTCATGGTATTGAGAGTCATAGTATGTTACAATTAGAAGGAATGCTCAGTGTTTATAGTGTTATTGGAGGAATGATATAGTAAGAGGTGAGTGATGCTGCCAGATACGAATAGTCTATGTCGATAAGGAATTTGGTCAAGTTTATTATTTGTAAATACATAGTCTATATAAGTGAAGATATACATCTTGATTTTATACGTATGTATATATATATATATATACCTTGAATTTGGTCAAGTGTACTATTTGTAAAGACATATTCTATATAACTCAAGATATATAGATATATCTTGATATATGTAAAATATAGCTCAGCTCCCAACTTATATTCAGACTTCACACTTTATACATGTGAGCATTGTAATATCTGCATTTTACATGAGGAAATTGAGATACAGAGATATTAGGTACTTTCTCGAGGTCTAAGAATAAATTATGTACTGTGAATGGAGGCCTAACCAAGTCCCATGACTCTTTTCCCCTTGTCTACATCCAATATTCTAATATCCGCTCACTCCTCAGGGTCTATCAAGTCTAACATAGAAAGGTAGATCATCAGCTTTTTTCCTGTTGACTCAGAGGATGATATATCTAATACTTTCATCAGGAGTATCAGAATTTTATTGTTTGTGATCCACTTTTAAAATTAGAAATACATTGCTAACAAAATGTAGGCTAACTCCTCGCACCTGCTAAGATGATATTGTGTAGAGGTTTCAGGGCTCTCTAGAGATAGGGAGGCAAGACAAGGGGAACAAATGTTCTCACTTCTTGAGCTGGTATAAGCAGGAAAAGCCGCATCTGGGTCAATGCCGAGGTGGATTGGGCTTATTTTGCCATTCATGTGGTAGGCCGTTTGACTGCTGTGGTAGCCTGCCTTCAGGATGGGCTCAGTGTTCTTCACCCACTGGTATTCACACCCTTACATACTCCCCTCTCACACTGAATCCGGGCTGCCCTGTGTGACCAGTAGAGTACAATAGTAGGCCACGTCGCACATAAAAGACGTTGTGGCTTCCACCTTGGTCTTGTGTATCCTTTGCTTTCTTATACTGCGTACTTTGGGCAAAACCAGCTGCCACATTGTGAAAACATTCAAGCATCCCTGTGGAGAGGCTCATTTGAGCAGGGACTGAGGCCTCCTGCTAAGAGCCAGCACTACCTTGCCAGCCATGGGAGTGACCTAGCTTGGAAACAGATCCTCCAGCCCAGTTAAGCCTTCAGTCATCATAGCCTCAGCCAACATCTGATTGAACTTCATGAGAAACCCTGACCCAGAACTGCCCAACCAAGCTGCTTCTAGATTCCTCTATTGCAGAAACTGTGAGAGATGATAAATGGTTACTGTTGTCTTAAGCCACTAAATTTTGGGAGTAATTTGTTACATAGCATTAGATAATGAATACATCCGTGGTTCATTATTTTTGCACCTCTATCTTGGGAGGTAGGGACCCTCTCATTGGTGTGTAAATATTAGGGGAGACTAATTTGTGTGTGAAAGAATATTTTTAATGCCCCCCATAATGGAATTAATTTACTTATTTGTACAATTACTTTAGGGTTTCCCCTGCACCCTGCCTGCCCCTTCCAGGCTCCTGAGAATGGAAGGAACACTGTAATTCCCAATCTGCATCACTAGTCCTTGAGCTCAGACCTCTTTCCTACTTTAGTGAGTTGGAGTGAAAGGGGCTGAAGTTCTCTTTTCCTGTTTCCCTTGAGTTCCTTTTAGCAGCTTATTTCCTCCTCCACTCTTTTGGTCCTCATTCCTAGCCCCTTTTATTCACTTAGTTTAGAAGGTAACTTCCAAAGAGATACCCACCAAACTAAAAATCAGAGAGACAAAAAACCCCACAAAAGTCCTAAAATCCCCCAATAGCCCAGGACTTCACAGTCTTCCCAAACTGAAAAGAGAAAAAGTCCCTTAAAACCTAAAATCTTCCAATAAAAGCCTCTCCAACTATATTTATCTACTCCTCTATACTGAAGTAACCCTTTCCCTCCCAGCCCAACTAGTCTTTTGATGTATAACCAGGAGAGTGAGAAAGAGGATAAAGGGAAAGATATCCCAGGGTGTGATGTTAGTCCATTGTATCTCACTCATTCATTTATTCCTTCATCCATTCGACAAAGATTAACTGAACTCTTACTCTGTGGTAGGCACTATTTTAAGTGTACTCGGGATGCATCGGAGAACAAAACGGAGCCTTTGTGAGGTTTACAGTCTAGATAGGGAGGACAGACAATGAATAATAACATAATAAACATTTACATTACTGATATTAAAAGTTCAAAGGTGCTATGAGAAAAAAATGGAGCGCGGTTAGGGGTATTTGGAGCACGGGCAATGGGATGACAGGAGAGGGCCAGCTGTAAGTATTAACAGAATGGTTAGGTAGACCTAATTAAAAAGGTAATATTGAAGGAAGTGAAATAGTTATTTATGGAAGGGGAAGAATTTTCCAGAAAGAGAAAAGCCAGTGCAAAGACCCTAAGGCGAGAGTATACTTGGCATGGCTGATGAACAGAAATGATGCTGAGTGGGACTGGTGAGGGGAAGAGAAATAGGAAAGGGGGTCAGAAAGATGAGGGCAGACCAGATCATATTTAGCCGTTTAGACAGTTTTAAGGACTTTGGCTTTAATCCTGAGTGAACTGGGGTACCATTGCATATTTCAAACAGAAGAGTGATATGATATGACTTATATTTTAAGAGAATTGCTGTGGCTACTGTGTTGAGAGTAGGGGCAAGGAGAGAAGCTGGAAGACCTGTAAGGAATCTCTGCAATATTTCAGTTGAGAGGTGATGGTGGCATCTACTAGGGTGGTGGCAATAGAGGACATGAGAAATGGAAGGTACTGAATATATTTTGAAGGTGGAGCTAATACGGTTTCCTGAACTAACAAGATGTGGAGAGCGAGAGAAAGATAGGAGTCATGGACGACTCCACAATTTTTGGCCTGATCAACTAATAGGGTGGAGTTGTCATCAACTGGTATTGGAAGATTATGGATGGGGCAAGTTCAGGGAGAAGGATTAGGAGTTCAGTTTTGGGCTCATTTGGGTTTGAAACATTTATTTGATATTCAAGTGGAGATTACAAGTAGGAAGTTGGCGATACGCGTCTGGAGTCTGGGAGAGAGGCTGGGACTGATGATATGAATTTGGGAGTCATTGGCAGATAGGTAGTATTCGAGGCTGCAGACCAGATTACTCACTAGAAAGTGAGGGCGGACCGAGATAAATGATCTGAGCCCAGGGTTACTGCATTATTAAGAGGAAGGGGAAGAAGAGGAGGAAATCAGTAAAGGAGATTGAGAATGAACAACTGGTGAGTAAGGGGGGAAATCAAGAGAGTGCGGGGTCCTGGAGCCAAGGGAGAAAGTGCATTAGGAGGAAAAGAATAATCAGCTGTGTCAAATGCTGCTAATAGGTGAAGTGAGATGAGGGCTGAGAAATGACCACTGGATTTATTAATGTGAAGATCACTGAAGACTTTGACAAGGGCAGTGCACGTGTAGCCTGTGGCAGCCATGGTCTGAATGGAGTAGGTTAAGAGCAAGCGGGAGGAGAAGAATTAGAGACAGCATAGTCGGCTCTTTTGAAGGGTTTTGTTGCAAAGAGAGCAAAGAAATGGTGTTGAGGCTGGCAGTGGGAGGTGGAGTCGAGAAAAAAATTGCTTTTTTAAGATGGGAAAAATGATAGCAGATTTCATTTCTTGATGCTTGTTACTAATTGCTTTTTGAGGTGGTCTTTATCCTGTCTTTCACTATTTTAAATTTTGGCAGCTTTTTATGATAGTTTCCTAGGGAGGTAAGGAATTAGTGTAGAATACTTTTATATCACTTGGTTATAAGGCTGTTTTTTTAATCTGTATTTTATTTCATTAAATACATTGGCTTTTAAAGAATATTAAATAGAATATTAAAAGAGGTGTAGAAATGGACTTCCTGACAGAATATTTAATAAAATATGTCACAATAGGAGAAAGTTGCCAGGAAAGAAAAGTCTGTCAGTCAACATGTTGCTGGCTGTAGCAGTCCATTCTCTCAGCTGGAAAGCTCAGAAGGAAGGAAAGAAAACTTAAGAAATATTTCATGTAGGGCCTAGCCTCATGGTTCTCCATCGGAGGCAAGTTTACAGTGTCTGGAGACATTTTTGATTGCCATGACTGGGGTGGTCCTATTGGCCTCTTGTGGGCAGAGACCAGGGATGCTACTAAACATTCTATAATGTCCAGGACAGCCCCCCAGAACAAAGAATGTTCTGGCTTGAATTGTTAGTAATGCCAAGGTTGAGAACTTCTGGCGAGCTGCATCACTTTTCCATTCTTCCAGAGAGAAGCTAGGAAGCTACCTCTGAAAAAGGAATCCAAAAGAACCTGCTCTACCCAACCCATTGTTCTATCTTTAGATGAGGCACAGCTTTTCAATGAATAATTAGTGTTCAAAATAAAGACATTTCTTTTTTTGCCTTTCCTGTCTCTTTGCCCCCTCTCTTCTCTTTCTTTCTGTTGGTTCCCATCATATATTACAGTTTTGATAAACTTGGGTAGTTTCCCACTAGGGCCCAAGATGTTAGAGGAATATTAAAGTCAAAGTAAGAAATCCTTGGTTCAATTGAGCAACCACACTTTCCTGTGGCTGATTCCTATTCTGCATCCACCTGATGACTTTGTGAAAGAAAGGATCAAGGACAGGGTGATTGTTAAGCTTTCGCTTGACAGCTTTTTAATGTGAAAGGACAGGTGGCCTGCTAGCCATCTTTTCTGTGGCTTCTTTTGGCCATTAGGACTTCAGAGGAGAGCTTCACTCTCAATAACCCTACCTTCAAGGTGTGCTGTATCTGATAAGGAAGACTGAGAAAAGTCAGGACTGCTCCTAAGTGCCTGTTGAGTGAAAATTTTCCTGTAGGATCAAAAATTAAAAATCCAGCTTTATAAGAAGAAATTTAAAATTTATGCATTTTAAAAACTTGAAGGATAAGTTCTTTATGTAAATTCTATAGTTCACTGGATTGTGTTTCAATGTTCAAATCCAGAGACAAAAATATGATTTTTAAATTGACATTAAAATTTTATTAAAAATT